TAATGAGAGAGAGAGAGAGAGAGGGAGAGAGAGAACATAAATCAGTTCTAACCGTGGTTAAAAATGTCTTAACTGAATAACGGTCCGATGATTTAGAATAATTCAAACGTGGCCAATTGCGAGTCACAGGCTCCGTTATTTAATGCAAAAATTAAATCGCATATAAACTGGAGCACATTTTTACACGTAAGTTTGTCAGAAGTCTCAGACATCGTACTGTTTTCGAGACGCAGCGCATCCGCGGTGTATTTCCAGAGCCAATCTCTCGGGGACTCGCCGAGAGCTCGACAACAAGTATCCTCTCCGTCGGCGCGACTTTGCGCTCGAGATTCTCGAGAGGCGAGACCGACGACGCATTTCGATCGATCGTCGGCCGAAGGCGGCACGACGACGTACGTCCAAAGCGAGCAGCAGAGAGAAGGAGGCGCGCGAGAGGCCTAGCGCCAAAATAAATCAATAAAATAGCGAACCAAGTCGAGCACGTAGGCGCATATACGTGCATGCAGCGTATAGACCGACACGTATGTGGATACGAGAAGCCGGGCGAGACGAGGCGAGGCCAGGCGAGGCAAGGCGAGACGAGACGGGACGGGACGAGACGGGACCGGACGGGACGGGACGAGGAGAGGAGAGCTGCGGCGCGACGGTTGAAGAGAGAGAGAGAGAGAGAGGAGAGAGCCGAAGCAGGCGAACGAGCTAGCGCGAGCGAGGTCGAGACACGCGGCAGCTGTCTGGCGCCAGGGGTCCCCCTGTTCCCTCAAACAGTCGCGCCGAATGCCACCCACCTTAGCCGACCGACCTATCGTGCCATTCTCAAACCTGCCTGCATCCCGGGAGCCGGCTTTCCCCTCCCCTGCCCGCGTTCCTGCGCGCTCCTCCTCCTCCCCCCCCCCTCGTCCTGCGGCGGCAGATGCAGCGGCCCCGCGTCCGGCGACGCACACGTTTGATGGATCGACGACGGAACCGCCGCCCGTATTCCGCCAAGTGGAACCTTCAGACCGAGGGATCGGGAGGTGCGTTCGACAGACAATTTGCCCAATTGCGCCGATAATGAAAAGAATCCTCGCCCCTTTTTTCACGTATTTCAACTTGGGAGTCGATCGCAGGTGTTCTCGCTCGCTGAATTTACGCGAGAGCGTAAAAAGAAATGGAGGCCTCGGAGCCTTGAAGATATTCGATGGTCGCGGGCGTCAGTTGGAAAACGCTCGATCGAATCATGATATTTCTGTTCTCTCCCGGAAGCGGCGCGTTCTATCTATAACTGGCTCAAATAAAAAGACAAACCGCGCGCGTGTTTACGATTCCGCGTCGTCCTCTCTTCGGCGCCCCGAGCTTCACGTGTCGCGTATTATATACCGCGTGTGCGAATACGCGCGACATTCGCCAGGCCGACGAAAGTGCAATCGCGTCAGGATGATCCTCGCTTCCGGTAAATGGGGCCCCGCTGCGGCGACAGGTCGAACGCGCGTCTTTTTCATGCGCGGCTATGAAATCCCAGAAATCTCAGGCGCGCTCGAGAAATGCCCGCGCATTTTCTATCGCGATGCGTATAATATTTATGCTATTTTCACTTGTAATAAATCAAAATTAATTACACGAGTTTACAAACGATAATTTTCGAGGCTCGATATATAAAACGTTAATTAACGGACGTAATGCAAGGGCGATATAACGGACAGCGTCATACGGACATTCTCCCTCGAAACAGTTCAAGTCTTACAATCAAGATGGTAAATGGCGCTCAACCGTGTATGCATGCAATTTCTAAGACGATCCTTCCTAATACCGTACTAAGTATTTGGCGTCGACTTATTGTATTGCGTTGCGAGGGTCAACTTGCGCTGGACTTGAACAACGGTGCGTGATTGTGAAAAACCGGGCACTCATCGATGTAATCGCCAAGTTCTCTTTCCTACACGATGACATTATACAGGGTGAGTCTTTCCATATCCGACAAAATTTTTGAGAAGGTAGGACGGATCGAGATGAACGGAAAAGTCCTGTACCATTTTGCAATTTTCGTAATAGTTAACGAGTAATTAATTATTAAAAATCGTTGTCTTAGGCCAGCCTACCGCCCAATTCGAGCGCGTGGCAAGATGTGACCGCCTGGCGATCGATATTGGCCGCGTTCAGCAGACACAACTGTTGAGTGAGCGCTCAGTATGATTGGTTAACACTTTTAGATCCTTAATATGATTGGCTGGATCTAAAAGTATTAACCAATCATACTGAGCGCTCACTCAACAGTTGTGTCTGCTGAACGCGGCCATTGCTATGCGCACATCTCGCCACGCGCTCGAATTGGGCGGTAGGCCGGCCTAAGACAACGATTTTTAATAATTAATTACTCGTTAACTATTACGAAAATTGCAAAATGGTACAGGACTTTTCCATTCATCTCGATCCGTTCTACCTTCTCAAAAATTTTGTCGGATATGGAAAGACTCACCCTGTATATTCTGATCGTGGCCGTTATAACGTACGTGTTAATTTTGCCGACATGATAGGTTTTTTTCCCAAATGTTGATTGTCGTTGAAAAGGACCACATGAGTTGGTCGAAACGTTTGACATAGTCAATTTCAAATAAATAATACGCAAAAGATTGTTATATCCGCACTTCTACTAATTAAGATAAGTTAATAAATATGGACGAGGCTCCGATAAAACAAAGATAAAAAATTAAAATTGACGTTAAAAACGTCAGTGTTCTCTTGACCATATCTGGTATTTTTAATAATACAGAAAATTTATTGCGAAAAATATTACCTCAGCCCAGGGTTTGAACCTGGACTTCCCTACGCTCTAGGCGGGCGTCTCATCAATTTGACCACTGAGACATGTTGGCATACTCCAACATGCCTCAGTGGTCGAATTGGAGACGCCCGCCTAGGGTGTAGGAAAGTCCAGACTCAAACCCTTGCTGAGGTGACATTTTTTTTCGCAATAAATTGTCGCTAATTAAAATTGCCAGTTGTGTCGGTTATCAATTTTTCTATATAATTTTCTTCAATAGATCTCGACGGCATTTGATCTTTGCTTGAGAAAATTACAGTGCCATGAATAAAAGTCCGAAATTAAAATGGGACCGAACGAGAGAATCAGAGGTAGGGCAATTCGGTGATATTAAAGTTGACGCGATGAAAATGTAATGTAAAAGAGCTGAAATCTAAGGGAATTAAATCCAAGGGATTTGTTTTAGAAGCTCGCGCTATTATAAACGACGTTCTCTCAAACTGAAATTGGATCGGAGCTGGGATAAATTGCGTTCTACGCGATTACCCCCGGATTAAATGCGTGAACACACGCGCGTCGTCTCTTATTCACTCTTGTAAAATATCGCGAGACGCGCCGGACGCAGACGTAATTTGCTTGTCGGCTCGGGAATGTTTGACGTCGCTAGAGCAGCGCGCCGCGGCCTCTGCATTGGCAAAGGCAGATAGTAAAAGTAAAGACCTCGACGCGCGAGGGGGAAAAACTCGTCGCGAATATTACAATTAATTCGTTTTCCCTCAGCGGCGTGGGAATTCGCGCGATCAATCGGGAATGAAAAACCGTCGCACGCTCACGTGGAGACTTTCCGATCGTTTGCATCTTTTGGCGAAACGTACAACCCAAATCTACCCGTTGAAATATTTCCTCAAATAGAAGAAAAAAAAAAATTTATCTATCAACCATCTTATCAAGAGAAGAGAACGATCTGCCCTGAAACGTAAAAGTAAGGGATAATTGACTCGCGCGTAATTAAAAAAAATAGATTCAACAATTGTAAATAAACACGCGCGCGCGTATTCCACCGTCATAACCAGTTTTCTCACGTGTAATTTTTTTCTTCTTTGCTCCCCGCAAACTATTTCCTTATCGCTAATACCATTCGTGCTTTCGATCTGTATCGCGGGAAAAAGTTCGTACGCCCGGCCCGATGGCGCAACCGCAGAAAATTATTGAACGACGTTGCGGAGAAACGGGAGTAATCGTCGTATACGAGTCGGCGGCGAGAGAGCAGAGCGCGCGCGCTCACTTTCCTGCTTCTGGCCGGAGCCAAAAGCGTTTCAGGCGTTCCACGAAGCAGCGGCGCGAGAGCGGCCCGAAAAACGACGAGTCCGCGATCCGTGCGGTGCGTCATGCGTGAAAAGCTACGCGCGCGTCAGCCCCGTGGAACGTGCGTGCTGAGGAAATTTCTTCGGCGACCGGTCGACACCGTAAAACGCTATCTTGTCCTTACGAGAGAAGCTTGGGGGGCCCCGATGAGTCATTGTCTTTTATACGCGCCGCGCATTGTAAAACTAAATCCACGAGAGCTACGATTTCTATTAGATTTTCTTTTAGATAATATAGCGTGGGGGGGGGGGGTGAAAGGAGAAGCGTAGATCGCTCTCGGATCCCGGTGTGTTCGAGATTTATATCCGCACGGAGAGAATTTTCTCTTAAAATTTATCCTGAAAGTTATGTAATTGCGGGACAACACGGCATCTCGAAGAACTGTACGAGTTTCTTGAAATTTTACCATACATTCTACTAGTAGAATTTAAAGAAAACTCATACAGTTCTTGGAAATGCCACGTTGTCCCACGATCACATGATTTTCAGGGTAAATTTTGGGAGAAGATTCTCCCCGTGTACGAGTGTAAAATTAACTCGAATCGCGATTATACGCTCGCAACTCGCGACTCGAAAGAGAAACAAGTTCATCCGAGGTTAAAGTCGCGCTTGCTTCTCTCAGATGGGGGAAGAAACAAAAGTAGCGAGATGTAAATGCGGCGATCAATCGTAGGCGTGGTCGGGGGTATTTTGGATCTACCTGTAGGGTAGACGATTGTCCGAGATAAGAGGGAAGGAAAAGGCGGCGAGAAATGGATCGGGCGATTTTTCCGAAATATTTCACGTCGGCCGCAACGATCCATTATCGTTAAAACGACTCAACGGGACACCCCGTATATCTCTCGTCGGCGGGGTCGGTGAACATATGGGGTACGTATAACCTTGAAGACATAGTTACCTTCTCCGTTGGTGGTAAGCGAGCCGGGAAGTGGCAGGGGCGTGCTGTTTCTGCACCGACGTTGATCCCCTTCGCTGGGCGCGCGATCTGAAAATAAACGGGCAACCCCTTGAGAAGCTGCTTTCCTCGCGCGAGACTATTTCTTCCTCTCTTAATTCCTTTCCCTCTTTTCCCCCCGCTCTCGCGCGCTCCTTTTTTCGCTCTTGCACATGTTTCGCTTTATATCCAGAATAGAGAGAAAGAAAGAGAGCGAGAAGAGAGAGATGCATAATCGTACTTGAGCGGAGGAAAAGAGGCGGGCGTTAAAAAGTGCATCTCGCGACGCGAACGCGATTGTGCGACGTGGCGCGACGTCGTCGAGCAGCCAGCGTTCGTTTATCGCGAGAGGATCGGACGACGAGAATTTTCCGGGACGAGCGAAGAAATTCACGAGGCGCGTTGCATAAAAGGCTTATTGTCGGTAACACCGGCAGCGAGGTTCCGCGTAATTTCACATGACCGTACGTCCGCGCGCGCGCGCGCGCGGCTAATTGACGTAATACCCAGTCTCGGATTTCTCCGCGCTTCAACAGAATAAATTCGATTCTCCTGGCGCAGGTGCGCGCGCGGGAGATGCGTCCGCCGCCGAGCTGCGTCGTGCCAAACGGGCGAAACGACTTCTGTGCGGCGAACCGCACGGCGGAGGTGGTGAATCCGATAGCGAGATGAATCCCGAGCCCTCCGTTATTCACCGTCGAAGAAAGATAAACAGCCACTTGCCACTCGATTCGGTCTTTAGCGGCGTCGCCGATCGAACGGCCGGCTCTGACCGTCGCCGCAACAATTGCACGCGATCGGTCGCGGAGAGCGAGGGCAATTAAGCGCCAACAATTTCCGCGGGCCAGAAGAGACGGCGGCCAAGGTAATCGCCAGACGCGTGATTCATAGTCCCCCCACGGAAATGTCTCTTTCTTTCTCTCTCCCCCTGCCGCTCTCTCCCCCCCCCCCGCCCTCCCGTCTCTCTGTCCTTCTTTCTCTTTCGCGGCGGCACAAAGGAGGTGACAGAATCGTCCAAAATAATTATTCGCTCGAGACGGATAATTTATTCGCGCGCACCGTGACAAAAGTTTCGTATAGCAAACAGAACGGCCAATTATAATTCGAGACGAAACAATGCTAATCTGTCCCGCCTTCCTTGTAAACGGCCTGCGAACGTCCGATTTCGAAGTCTCTTAAAACTCTGCTTCTATCTCAGGTCTCGCTCGTGTGTGTTTTTTTTTAAATTTATTGCTTTATTAAGAAAGTGACTTTATCGGACTTTTACGCAAAATCTTTGTTTCGACGGAATTATACCACGGTGCAATTTAATCGAGCGACTTACGTTTCCAGCTTTTATTTCTCAATTGAACGAATAAGCTGAACGAGCTGAGAACGATCGATAGCTGAAAATATTTCGTCTGTAGTAAACCCTTACGGTTTAAATTACAAAAAGTTTTAGGCCCGACAAGCGGGCGCTAATAGTCTTAGAGATAGACCATGGAAGGCCCAGGTCCATTCACTAAAGGGGAAGATGACGTCAGACGAACACAAGTCGACCGAAAGGACGGTCGCATTCCTTGTGGATTCCAGGTTCTCGTTCCTACGGGAGAAGCATTTCCTGCCGCGTCGCCACTCAAGGAGCATTAGAGAAAGCGGCGGAGGCAGAGACAAGGGAATTGGGACCTCAAGGATATCGCGAAGATAGAGGAGAGCCGTCTATTTTTAGGCCGCAATTATTTAAAAATTCGCCGGCCTCGCCCCCATCGCTGTCGCGTCGAGAGAATCTCGCAGGAGAATTCGCCTCTCTCTCTCTCTCCCTCTTTCTCTTTCTCTCAGCGAATCCTTGTCCTGTTTCCCACGCGAGAGGCATGTTACATAAATAGAAACTCGCCCGACGTTTTCTGATCAAATTCTTTTTTCGCTCATCTCGACGAAAATTAACTCTTGCGACGATATACTTAATTATATAACGCGCCCGGTGCTGATTAACAAAACAAATATATCGAAGAAACATTATCTCACACAGTTGCAAAATTTGTGTTAAATTTAACAGATACCACATGTCCCATGCGGTCCACGCAAATTTTTATGTTAATTTAACATAATATGGATATGTTAAGTGATCACACTAGTACCCCGTTAATATTTTAACACCAAATAAATGCAAGTCTTAAAATAATTTAAAATAAATTTTCAGTAAAATTAACATATTTTTAATGGCAAAATAAATTTGAAAAAATGTAAGTTTTACATTTTACAGACGTAATAAGTTAAGTGACGGTTCGAAATCACTCACTTATGTTATGTAAAATAAAATCAACATTTTATTCTGTAAATTTTAACAGATAAATCTTGTTATTAATGATATAGAACATATGTATTGCGTAAGATTAAAAAATAAGTACACATTGTGCTGTTTTAACATTTCTCTTGAGTTATTTTAATAATTTCACATTTGAGGTCAATTAACACACGAGCAATATGTTAAATTAACACATGAATGTGCTAAACATTTAGCACAAAAATTTTCACCGGCATTTGTTTTCAAACAAGAAAACACAAATTTTCCAACTGTGCACCCAACTGGCCGAAAATTTTTTCTGCTTTCGACAAACGACGAGGACCCGAGTCCGGATAATAATTTCCACGGGCCGAGTGAAACCGCAGCCGTCGGACGTTCGTTGCTTCTCGGAAATAATACGAACGTTCCAAGTTTCCACGATTTTTCAGATACGCGGCAACGACGCCTCGCAACGCGGCAAACAATCAGAGCGCGCGGAGCGATTATCGGCGCAAATATTTATCCGACCGATAAGGAACAAATTGACACGCGAGCCCCGCGGCTTATTATACCCGCCGTCGTCGGTCGACGGTCCAATATACAACGGCGGAACGTCGCGCGGGTAAATACAATTTATTTACAAAGTAAGGCCGGACGGGAGAGCTCGCGGCGCGATTTTGGCACGCGCGTCACTCCACAAAGGGAACGTAAATATAATTCCGCGAATTACGCGTGTCACCGTAAGCTGTTAAGTGCCGCGCGAATCTGCGAGATAGTGTCACCGCCGAGTTTTGCAAAAATATATAGCCACGCGGAAGATTCGACCAGCGGCGCGGCGCCACCGCGCCCGCTCGCTTCCAAGGTGAGCGGATTCGTGAATTATGGGCTTTGGCTTGGGAAGAGAGTCGCGAGAGAGAAAGACAAAGAGGGAGAGAGAGAGAGAGAGAGGGAATACCGTGCGATATCTCTTCTCGTCCGACGACATCGTCGGTGCGTTAGGGGGATGCTGGAGTGATTCTGCACTTTTTGCACCTTTTGCTCTTGGAACTGCCAATTCATGAAAACATTTGTGTAATATACAAATTGTGCTTTTGCGTACAGACCGATGGTGCTCCACTGACGAGGGAACGGTCGAAAACGTCCCTCGCCGATTTCGATGCGCTTCGGATATGTCGTAGAGCATACAAAAATATTAGACCCGTATTCTTTTTAGCGGCTTCTCTCGACGTTTAGGGGGTGAAACAGCCCCTCGGAAATAACGGATTTTTTCCATTTTTTAAAGAATATCTTCGTAAATACAAGGTTTATGAAAAAATGTTTTAGACAAAAGTTTTATTGTCATAGTCTTCACAATGGCGTAATCACCATTTGTCAAAAATGTCAAATTTTTTAATTTACTTCCACCCTACAATTATTTTTTTTAAATTAAAAAAATGTTTTTAACGCAGAAGTTTGAGAGCATTAACTTTTGTCCAAAACATTTTCTCATACACCTTGTATTTTCGAAGATATTCATAAAAAATGAAAAAAATCCGTCATTTTCGAGGGGCTGTTTCACCCCCTAAACGTCGAGGAAAGCCGCTAAAAAGAATACGGGTCTAATATTTTTTTATGCTCTACAACATCGCCGAAGTACATCGAAATCGGTGAGCGACACTTCCGACCGTTCCCTTGTGAGTGGACTCAGCGGTTTCCCCCTCGTTAATTTCAATGGCACCACGTTGTTCTCTGATTTAGTTCGATCAGTGGAACCGTTCGAGCTGTACGCACAAGTCTTATAATTTGTGTATTACACAAATGTTTTCACGAATCGGCAGTTCTAGACGCAAGAAGTGCAAAAAAGGTGCAGAATCGCTCCAGCATCCCCTTAAGTGCCGCGCAAGTTTCGCCCGGGTTCGCGAGTCGTGGTCTCGAGGGACCGAAAACGCCGCTCCCTTGATTTCCGAGAGTGCATCGAGGAGAAAAGTTTCGCGAAAGTTTAGAGATCGAGCCCTAGCTCTCCTCTCCTCCGACCGCTAACTTTTCCCTTTCGCGCGGGTGACGTTCGAAACTTGGAGCTCGCGACGCCGCGAATTTTTATCGCCCGACGATACGTCGTCGACTCGTGCGCGGATCGTCGCGTCGTCGCGGAGCTGAGTGTCGTGACATTGGGAGACCGATCGACGTCACGCATTGTAATGCGTCGCGGCGCACTCGCCGAGATACCGAGGCGGGCAAGCTGCATCGAATTAGGATCTCGCCGGCGCGGCGCGGCGGATCTTCAAAAGCGACATCTCGCCGGGCGGCTCCTCCGATCCGGAAATCGGCGTGCCTGCCGCACGGCGCTCTCGGGGCCCGCTCGCACACGCTGCCGGCGCGATCGGTACGGCGAAGGAGGCACCGGAATGCGAGAGAGCCACTCCCGCCGATCGCCGGCGACTCGTGGCGGTCGCTCGAGCGGAGACGAGGGGAGAGCGAGAGGAGGATGGAGCGCGGGGACGAGGATGAAAGAGAGAGAGAGAAAGAAGGAGAGAGGTTTCATCATACCCCGGGTACGCCGGCTCCTAGCCGATAACAGATTTCCCGAACGAATCTACGATCGGCTCTTCTTCGTAAAGATCGATGATAAATCACGATCGGCCGCGATAAATTATAATCTTCGGCATTCCGTGTTCCAAAGCGAGTGGAGCTTGGTCGAGGCGAGCAGAGAGCGCTCGCTCAAGAGCGGGTATATCGCATTATTTTAGGGAGAAGGGACTGATTGAATAAGAAGCGCGCGCGCGCGCGGCAGAAGACAAGTGCGACGCGA